AAACCGACGTGGATGAAGTTTTGAAATGGCAGAAAAAAATTACTCTTAATTATGGGATGGAATAAATTTTGTCTGACTTTCTCGAATTGAGTTTGATTAATTATGAGATAAGTCAAAACGAACGCTGAACTTGCATTTTATATTAAAGATTTAAAAATTAGAACGAGTAAAAAGTCGATAAAAAGGAGAACTTGTAGATTGCAAAACACGATCATAACTCAATTATTGTGAGTACGTAGATTTTGAAAGAGCAAATAACTAAAAGGCGAATCCTTTGTTATTGATTTCCTTTCGCTCGCAGTTGACTTACCTTAAAAGCCCGCTAAAAGCACCGTAATATATATCTCGTTCAGATTAGGTAAAAGAAATTTATATAGACAGCTTATTTTTTTAAAAGTACTATATTTATAATCCGTCTCACATGTGTATCTTCTTAATTGTATTGTAGAGAGTTTATATACAAATGTGTATACTCTGTACATTCAGTTCTATACGTCAAACGTTGACACGTAATCTGTACATAAATTTCGGGTACACGATTAGGTCTTGATTTGCAAAACTGTATTTGTGGACAAATTCCATCGTAATAAAACGTGACTTTTACACGCTGTTGATCGATTTAATTTAATTGACTTATTTAATTAGCGATCTGGTCGTGGGTACAGAAATCTGCGCACGCACGGTCGAATAAATCAAATATTGAAACGGTACGAAGAGACATTGAAGATAAATCACATTGATTAATGTGTATGGATATTGTTGTAACAATGTTGCGCCGATTATATACGATTATACATATACAAGTCACTCATGTTTTCTCATTATGATAGAAAAAAATTCAATCTTTCCCTCCTGCCGTTTCAAAAAAATTTAATTTGGATCAGATTCCGTCGTAATACACACAAGTTGTATATATACAATTATTTTTATACTTTCACTGTTAATGGTAACAATATTGGCAACAGTAATAATATATATCATTTTTTAAATTAAAAGCATATAAATTTTTATCAACCGAAACATGTTTTTTAAAACTAAACATTAAAAAATTAACTATTCAATAAAAGTTTAAAAAAATTAAGCTGATAATTTTAAACCAATTTAAAAAAAAATTATATAATTGAACATTATTTAAATATAAGTAAGTGGGATAATTTTATAAATAAATAAGCACAATAATAGACATATCGGATGAATAAGCAATGAGGGTAGTAGAAAGTAGGGAACGTTACAATCGATCCATATTAAATAAAGTAGTAATACAAGTTGCATTTCTACAAATTTAAAGATGTATCAGGTATACAATCTTTTTACAAAAAGTGACTGGAATTGAAAATTTATACTTTGTATAAAAAAATTAATGTTATATACGTTCCGTATGTAAATAAACGTTATATATGAAACAGTCCAATAAAGTCAGTATTTATGTTTAATATTATAATTTGATAATTTAAATAAAATTTTTTTATTTTTTATCATAATTATTTTTTAGAGACATATCTATTTCTTATTAAAATAAAAATTTTAGATCCAGGTCTAAATTGTCAAACTTTTACTTTCAAACACAATATAGACGAATCCGTTTTCTTCATAATATTTCTTCATAATTTTGTTTATTTTACTAACAAAAAAATACATGTAATACATTCTTGAAGAGAAGTAAGGAGGCTTTGAAAAAATATTGAATGTAAAATCCACTTATATTGTCACAAAAAATCATGTTAAAAAGTCATACTAAAATAAATCGTGCTCTATATATTATAAGTAATAACTTATTATTATTCATTTACACCTATTTAGTTCAACAGCTAAATTGTAAATTCTTAACAGAGAAACGGCATATATAACGTTGTTTTTAACATTTACAAGGAATTAACCATATACAGGAATTAATAGCAGATAGTCCAGCTGAAGAGCTACTAGAGGATTTAATGGTTTGCACATAGAGCTTATAACGGACATAGCGGTAACTGTGCAACGGTCGTGTGCATACTCGGTTATCATGCTTGGGTGGTTATCAGAGCACGTGTGATTTCAGACGTCCCCGACGGCATTCGTAAAATAGACGCAAGGCCGCCGTGTTTGTCCGATATTCAACTCATGCCCCGGGATTCTGATGAAAATAAATAGGTATGTATCGCGTTTGTGAACAGCTGCGCGTGTCAGCCGATTGGAGATATAATTTAACATGATCGGGTGTGCGTGTGCGCATGCATGCAGTAAATTAGTAAAATATATAAATATGTTAAATATGTATATATGTGTGTAATTACGAACTGTAAATGCATTTCTTGAATTGCCTGTGACCCGAGCGCGCGCAGACTCGCACGTTTCCGTAGAAATCACCACATGTAAAAATAGTTTGCCTAATATTATCGCCGTGTGTGCGTCTACACGTCATCGCGATCTTCTCTCGACGCCGATCGATGCCAGTCGCATTTCGCGGAATATTGTTAAACGATATCGAAAGGAGTAATACAATTTACAATTCTATCTATCGTCGCATTTCAGTCGGCACATTTAGGATTTAAATGCGGAACGTGAACACATGTCTAAAATCGTTAGAACATCGCGTTTTACTTTTCACGTTAATCCTCTGGTTTGATCCGATGGATTCGAAGGAAGAATTATCGGAAAGCGGTCTTCTGGCACGCTACACGCAACGTTACTAAAGAAGAAGTATCGTTTCGCGAAGCATATCCACAGTCAGTCTACGTGACGAGAATACATTGGGATATCGAAGAAACACGATGTTCTATAAATCCAGTGGCTTTTATCAAGCGTTCACTTAAATTTCTTCCTCAAGCCCGCACCGATAATTCACAGGGTAAGGTACCTAGTTGATCGAAATAATTAGTAGTTTCTGACGCACGAGGGAAACCACACGAACCTCTCTTTATTCGTGGCTTTCTTTGCGACTAAACGGGAAAGACCCGCAAGCTATGGTTTGTTTTTCTCTTCGATTAACGAGTGATTAATAGCCCTCGATTCCCTCTTCTGTTCCCGGGCGGTCTTACATGTAAGAACGAATGTAGTTCCGTTCCTGATATGTTACGTTCCATTAAGCCCGCGAGATTTCGTAGAAATCAATAATCAGTATAGATAGAACATTTTCTTATCTTTGCTGCCTCCATTATAAGTTGAAAAAAATTATTTGAAGACAGATTTTACCATGATAATATCATTCTAGAAAATTTTACATTGTAATAAAATAAATAAAAATAATTAATGGTCTGGAAAATTTAAAGAGACTTTGGTTTAACTTAATATATATAAAAAGCTTTGCTACGTTTAAATTGTTTTTCTTTCCAGGATTAATTCTGCTGGTACAACTATATTCCGTGTTGCAATTTTTAGACGTAATATTAACTCAAAGTCATTACATTGCAAGAGAAATTATGAGAAAATAATCTATTAATATAAATACGTAAATATAAATATTATTAAATGTACGTTATGAAGTTTAAAAGCAAAAGAATTAAAGAATCCTTTCATCTTCTCCCGGAATCGACGGCGCGCATTTCTCTTTTCTTTTCCCCTTTTCTCTATGTATAATGCGAATTCTTCAGACAACTCGATTTAATCACACTTAAATACTAGTCCGAAGTCTAAGCTACGGTCCAGGACGTTTTTCACGTTCTTTAATTCTGTCTTACTATTCGTTTATCGCACGGATGATGTGAAAGGCAGCAATTGTTTATGGGAAAAAATGCATGATTCTCGATTGCTCGGTTTCAATTGCTTCCGTCAGGAATTTATTCACGCGACAGACTGTCGCACTTACCTGGTCCGTTCAACTGACGCAACTTTTATTTTTTTTTTTTATTACTTTTATCTCTGCTAGCTTCAACTGTAAGCTAATGCAGTTGTCAATGTCTATTTAGATCGCACTAACGGTAACGTACCGCAGACACGGCTATATACATGATTGATGTACACTCTTCTATCGTTTTAACGACGACACGACTAACATCAAACCCGCGCTCGAGGAAATCCTTGTTTTTCTTTGAGAAAAGAACGTGAAGTGATGGCTCGTGAAGTTAAAGCGTGTGTGTATCACTGTGTAGAAAAGCACAAGAGCAGTGACGCGAAAATCGACCGTGGCGTGATTCGAACTGTAAAACAAACACTAGAAAGGTATAGAAGCTCCAATCTCTTGGTCCAACGATCTCTCTGTCATGTCAATTGATCTAACAACGCATCGGAGAAAGCCGAGGGACGATCTAGCGCCGTCGAAAGAACTTTGAGTACCGACTGTTCTCCTTAAAGGTCGACCGAATTTTCTCGTAGCTCGATTAGGCCAGGTGCGATACATGGGATCCACGTTGCATCGCTCGAAGGCACTCCAGGCGATCGTCGATCGCCGCTGCGGTAGATGCGTATGCGAGAGACACCCGCAGTGCTGCCAAGAGAGAGATGGAGTCCTGCATCTGAACACAGGTACCCTGAAGCCCTCCGGTGGTAGTAGAATAGGCAAGTCGTGTAACTTTAAGGCTGCCTTTTCTCGCCACGATTTCGAAATCAGCGAATTGCCCGCCGTTGTCCGACCGGTGCGATTTATCGAGAGTGGCGTGGAAACCGAATCGTCGAATTGAGGCTCCGCATTAACTTTGATTGAATTGGAATCAAACCCGTTGCAGTCACTGACCGATTTCCCTAATTTCTCTTTAGTTGATTTACCAGCGAGTTCCTCGACAAGTCTCTCTTCGATAGAATGGATATGAGTCGATATGTCGCCGATTTTGGATTGCTGGCCGGTCTTCAACGATTCGCGATCACAGAAGCTGTCACTGACCGTAAGCATTTTCTCGTCCGATTTCTCGCGATCGAACGCGTCGCAACGCATAGATCAGGAGGAGGAGTTTGCCTCTAAGGTGGAGCTTATCGAAGTATCGTCGTCGAGAGAACTCTGCGTAGCGACGGTCACCTTGTTCCCGCTGTCGCTGCAAGTTGCTGCCGGATAATTTTGACGGGGATGGCGTCTCTTGTAGGGTTCCCAATCCCCAGGACCCCGGCGTCAGTGCGTCGCGATCACGTCTGGAGCGCTTTTCGTACTTTCTATACTGAACGGCCGTCTTTGATCTACCTCAATCACTGCTTCCGCCCGATACCTGGGATCCAGCGTTGGCTGAGGCTGACGTTTAATAGGTGTATTGCCGGAGGAGTGCTGTGATGTGCTAGATGTCGTATTGCTGGAGCCATGGCCGGATCCATATATGGAACTACCGTATCTCTCGCCGGAACCTAGGGTAGCCTGTCGTATAAACTTGGGCGATTGTCGATAGACACTGCTGGGCTCTCTGCTAGGCTTGGGACTTTGAAATTTCTGGTAGGATGGGTAGTCCAACTGTTCCGGATACTGGGCAGCTTGCGGCACGGCAAGTGGATAACTGGACTCGTGTGTAGACCAGCCAGGTGGTGCTGGTATAGGATTATGCTTCGGACAAATGCCCATACTGCCGTCTCGTCCGCGGGACGCCGGACTACAGCCGGAACATTGAGAGATATTTTGTTGCTGGGAACTCTGTTGCGGCGATTGCGAGCTCGTTTGCGAGGACTGGACGCTCTGATGAGACTGTTGCGGACTTTGTTGTGACTGTTGACGATGAAGATGAAAATGATGATGATGATGATTGGTCCCGTTCTGAGAACTGGGAGCACGCACACCGAAGGTCGTGAAGCCATACGGTACCATCGCGTCTGGCATTCGTGACTCAAAAAGACTTTCTCGGGTTTGACAGCAGTTATCGCGCATCTCTGGCTCTTCGCTCGACTCCTGTAGACGTTCCTGCGTGGCGTTGCTCACGTTATTACTCTGGTGAATATCGATGATATCGCTAGCGTTGTAAGTCATCTCGAGGACGAGGTCTTTGGTATATTCCTGAGGTATCATGGTGGTAAGGGGCATCAATTCTTTGCTGGGCAAGACTTCTAAACTAGGTGACTCGCTGCCATGATCATGCAGATCCGTTGTGGAAACCGAAATTGGACACGGAGTCGACTTCCGACCCAGTTCGTCCAAACGATTTTCTCTAGATTGCCTTATATGTTCCTATAATAAAACAAAGAGACGAAACGTGCACAGTAATACGAGCATAAAATTTATTAATCTGTAAATTCATTAATCTGTACAAAGTTTATTAGTAATCAATTTATAATGTAACATTATTTTGTTAGTACACTTAGGAAATAGCAATTTACAAAAATTAGTTTTGATCATAAGTTTTAACGAATCATAAATAGATTATTTTATTGCATAAATAAATGTATTTGTTTGCGCTGTGAAGATGATAAAAATATGCAAGAATAAATTATAACTTTGTTGATCTTATAAATAATTTAATTTATTGCTGTTTTTATTTCATGCATTCTATGCATATTTCCATACGGATTGCAGAAATTTGGCGTTTATTTTTTGTGCAAAAAGCTAATTCAATTATAAATAAGTCTTTTAGAAAGATATATACAATTTTACAAAGGTTTAATTTCTTTACAAATGAAAGATTAATGAGTTTATTGTGTCGATACTTTAATATATAGATTTTAATAAAATTAAATAAATAACTTTTATTTAATAAAATATATAATTTCTTTATTATTTCATTATTTTTCATGAATTGGTTTGTGCTCTATGCAATGTACACAAATATGGCTTGCTAAAAATAAATTAAATTAAAACAAAAATATGCTTATTTATGATTTAAATTTATCATTAAAATATAATAATAAATTAATAATACATCTTTTTTACAAAAAGATGAATTTCATTTTTCTTGCCACATATTCAAAATAATCCTTTAATTTTAAAAAGTACATATATATATGTATACATATATGCATATGAATAAACTTCTTCGTTCATGACTTGTTTACACAAACGAAATTTAATAACAGATGCTTAATAATGTTTCAATTTAGTACATTATATAAATGTCATATTATAATAATAAAGAAGAGAAATTTGGACATTTATAGTTTATATTGACATAATTATTATTGGAGAAAATGCAACTACTATATGCAACTGAAATGTCACTTGTTTACAGTGTAATAAATACAACAGAATTTAATAGCTTATAATAAACTAAGTGAATTTATTTGTCATTTATTTGTCGAAAAGATTAAGAACGCTTATTTGACCTTAAATATTTAAGGAAAACAAAGACACGTTTACGTTTCTTCATTTGCTTCTGCGGAACAAACATTGAGATAAATACATTTCATGTAAATTGTAATGGTAAAAAATACAGATGCCAATCAAAGCAATGTTACATCACTGAAGATTTATAAATTTTGCGGGTGCACTGAAATATTACGCGATCACGAAAAGAAATGTTGCTTTGACATTGTAAAAGAATATATTATCGTTTTTTAATAAAACTTGCAACCAAGGCTCAATCGTAATCAACAATTTTATGAATAATACGAGATGTATTTACGAAGGGGAACATCTGCGTAACAACTCTTATAAACTATCTTCTGAAGTATATATATATATACATATATATACATATATATGTGTGTATAAAACAGAAAACGTTCACGTATTTCCGTAGAACTTCGTTTTCCGATTCCTCATTTACTATAACTGAGGGCATGATAAAAAAAAGACCGAGAGAGAGAGAGAGAGAGAGAGAGAGAGAGAGAGAGAGAGAGAGAGAGAGAAGCTGAGAAAATAAAATTCACTCACCTGGATAATACGGTGATCGCGGATGAGCTTTCGAACGCAATTGAAGACGAAGGCGAAGCTCATGCCAAACATAATTAGAGAGAAAACAACGAGGATTATGACGATGTGGTGCGAATCGATCAACCGTGAAGTCTTCTTCTGCAAGAAAATTGAATGTGCCTTTAATATTTCTGATCGTTGTTTATTATATTAATTTAATGCTATAAATACAAAATTGGAATGTTATAAAGTAAACGTTTTAAAATATTAAAAAAAATTTAAACTATTTTGGTTTCAATTCATAAAGTAAATTGTACTATAGATTAACATATGAGTTGTTTCTGTATTCTATGTAAAATAATTAGATAATTAGGAAAATAGCTTTTTATAACTTTTAATATTATACACACAACCTTCTTTTTTACTTTTTTCTCACATTTAATTTTATCGTGACTTTACATGAGATTTTATTATAAAAAACAATTTTATAATAAAGTACATAAAGATTTTAAGCCAGATTTAAAAATAATTAAATCATCAAAGTAATTATGTAGGACGATTAAGCATGATAATAAAGTTTTGACATTTTATTGCAGCAATCAGTTTCAACGTCCATATAATTGTTTAGATTATACGTCGATAATTATTTTCAATTCTGTATCTGGCTTGATTTTGATATAGAGAAGACCAGGATACCATGAGGCACAAAAATTTAAACTCTCAAAAATACTTTCAAATATAAGATTTTTTCATATTTTTATCTTTTTAACTGAAAAATTCTGTATATTAAAAAATGCATTGAGTATATTTGACAAACGTTGATTGGTTTTTGGGGTAAAATAAAAACATATTTTTTTTTTAAATGATTCAAAATATCCCATACCTGGGGCATTATGTATCACACACGGAAAGTAAGTTTATTCAAGAAATAATGAAAAAAGTTGAAAAGGAATTTCAGTTAACTTACATAGCTTAGTATAGTCATTGAATATAATAAAAAAAATTATAACTAACAAATAACTATAACTAATAGAATAAAAGTCTATATTTATATTGATCGGTAAATAGATAGAATGTAAACTTATAAAGGCAAAATAAAATTAATGCTTAGGCTTATAAACTGCAATTCTAGCATATATTAGTATTGCTTTTGTTTTCTCATAAGTATTTGGTGTGTAACCCATGGTGCCTCAAATACTCTTAATATTGAAAACGATGAAATATTTATATATGTATAAAAGTAAGTGACAGATAATTTATTTGTAGTATAGTAAAATGAGAAAAGATATCTTTTACTACAAAGATAATATTAAAGCATTTTTAAATAATTAAAAAATTACTTTTGCACCACAGAAACCATTAACGACACGTACGTCTCGAGACAACAAAGTTTAATTACTACAACTTTGATACAAAGTATAGGCAACAAAATAATAATTGTATAATACCAGTTATATTAATCTAAACGCTCTGAATCGCATACGAAAACACTACCCGAGTACCTCCGAGTATTATTATATCCTTATTTAACATTTGGTGAACAAGAGTAAAATGATACTCGGAGGTAGTGTTTCCGAACGCAATCCTGGATACCCTATCATAGTACCTCATCATAGTACTCATGGTGCCTCGGCCTCCCTACTTATTAATTAACTTAATTAAATCGTTATTTTGTGTAAATACAATATGTTACTGCAATTGCAGCGTGCGTTTATAACAGCAATCTTGACATTGCATCAAAGCCTCGATCAATCGTCAATATTTCATAATCCGCAACGTAATTGTACCAGTTAAAGATATAAGTGAAATAAAATATCGGGAGACAAAAGGACAGTATTAATTATATCATTTCGTTCAATTTAGAGCTTTTCCATGTAGCTTACGCGAGCTCCTCGCGACAATGACGTTGCAAGATTCGCGCAGAATTCGTCGGTGCACCTCGACATCATGGCACGACGTTACATCTTCTTGTCACCGTCGTTCTACCCCGTTTTCAACATTTATCGGCTACAGAGGTGTCGCGCTAAATGCCTTCGTGAAATTTCAGTAGAGCGTTACACATTACGCAGGAAGGGTTCAAGCGCAAAGGAGGAACTTGCGAAACATCGCGGTGTATAGAATGCATGAAGCAAGTAGGATCGACGCGATCCATCTTCGTCCGTGTCTCTCCTCGCTTCTGCCTCTTGCGTGCCATCCTTTGTCTCGTAGAATGGCGACGCTGCCGCGGATTTTGCCTGTTTGCTCCTCGTTTACTTAAGTGGTTGCAGCGTGAGAGTAACTCGTTGAAATGCTACTTTATATCGCGTTTGTTGTAGTTTAAGCACAAAGTGTTTGGTACTCAACGCATTCGCAATGGATAAAGTGATTTCGCTTGACAAAGAGGAAAATAACTGTTTTAATTATTCTCTCAACAAGATTTCTTTCGTAGTAATGTAGAGTTCTCTTAAAAAGATACATCTTACAAAATCAGCTATAACTTGTATTTTTCCATTTATTCTAGATATTCTCTGATAATATTTTATACAATGTCTTTGTTAATACATGCCTTTGTTTTATACTTTCAGAGTTTATATTTTTTGTATTTTTGGCATTCAACAGATTCTTGCGTTTTATGAGCATCAAACGATATTTCTTGAGATTAAATCGCTCCGCTGACACAGCAACCTTGCCTTGCATAAAACGTTGCGAATTTGCATACTCGCGCAAGTAGTACTGCAATTAAATTATCAGACACACACTTTAGATGCGGTGAACAAGACTTCGGTTAAGTATAAGATGGATTAAGACCACGAACTTTGTAATCGCTCGTAGGAAATTCATGTAAATTCGTTTGCGCGAAAAAAACATCCAAATTTTTGCTGAAGCAAACAAAATATACATATCTTAATTTCTTCATTTCTGTACTAATTAAATAATTATTGGAAAATTTTAGCTTGAAAAAACAATTTGCTTAAATTTCAAAGATAAATAATTTTGGAAATTTGACGTAAAAAAAAACGTATCTTTAAACTGTTTTACCATATGACATGTCACAGGTGCAAGCTATCCATCATAACAAGTGCATTTGGTAAGTTCAGCATTTGCTGACCGAGAAACTTCGCATGCGGAAAGTCCTGCGAACGTGCATTACGCGACACATTGTACGCAAGTCACGTTATACATTCAATGCTTACACAGTAATAACTAATTTCACCGGCCCGTCTTACGCGCCACTGACACAGAGTAATGTTTGTCCGCATTATTACTGTACTCGTGGATCTAGCTTGGAATGCACCGTTAAACTATAGAGTAATTTATATTGACGTCACATGTGTGTTGTCCATATTCACCCATGTTCAAACGCATTCATTCGCTAGCTCAAAGAGATGCCGACCCCTTTTCTTCCACTTGCGTATATTTCTCCATGTCCCGGTGGTCGCGCTATAATTTCCCGGCGTTTATCTTTCGTGCACCACCCTAAGTTGAACTCATTGCTCCGACAGCGAGAACATGTCTACCTAAATCCAAAATGTTTAACACGACGGAAAATCAGTTTGTACGAAAGTAGAATAAGTACGGTAAAATTGAAGTGTATTATTTTCGGGACTTATTTGCATGAAAATAATACACTTTAATATATAAATGTTCAATATATAAATGTTTTTTAACAAATTCTTTTACATATTAATGTAACTCATCTAAAATTATTTATTAAAAAAAAAAGGACAGATTAAAAGACAACTAAGAATAAAGCCGTGATAATTAGTGCGCAAATAATTTTCAGTAAAGAATACATTTATATCAATTGTATCTAACAGAAAAATCGTTTAGCTTTATCTAAGTTACTAGTGATATATAACAAATTATTTCCACATTAATCTATTCTCATTAGCGTCCGTCAGATAAAACATCTTGAATTTTCTACAACTTCTTATAATTCAAAAATTTCTCTTCATTAGTTTATACGTTAGTAAAACACCAATGTAAGTCAATAACAAGGTTTGTTATTTATTAAAATTTATTTATCTTTATTTCAAATATATACTTATTATTCTTAGTGAAGAATTTGCTATAATTATATTAACAAAAGTTTAAGTCATCGACCTAACTCTAAAATAAATACGCGATTAAAAGTATTAACGTACACTGAGAAAAAATGCTGTTGATTCAATTAAAGTTGATATTACGGGCTGTCACTAACATAAGTAATTAATTCATGTATATTTTTATTGACATAAAGGCATAAATTATTATTTCAATAATCAAGGTGTTTATGTCAATAAAAATATACATGAATTAATCATTTATGTTAGTGACAGCCCGTAATATAGACTTTAATTGAATCAATAGCATTTTTTTCTTAGTTATATATATATATATATATAGTACAATATATATACGTCGTGTAATTTGATTACTTTCTATAGTGCATTCTACACGCATCCATCGATTTTGTAACTATACAAAGGGAGAAATTTTTTTTATCAATTGGATGTCATGTCGTGTGGAAAACGTGCCGAAAAATTGGTCCAATGACTAGAGAAAGCAATGCAATGTGCCGAAATCGTAAATCGTATCGGATAAATTCTGTTATTGTATAGCAATTACAAGAATAGCGTAAATATTCTTTTTCGCTATGTCGAAAGAAGCTACTATAACACCTATTTCAGTATCAAAATTTTTCAGTGTTATATTTCGGTTGTTTTATGTCTTCCTCTTCTCTCTCTCTCTCTCTCTCTCTCTCATACACACACACTCTTTTTCTCTTCCTCTTCCTTCCCCCCCCTCTCTCTGTTAAAGTTAAGCTGCAAAGTCGTGATGCCGTTCCGCATACAGGCATATGAGTAAACGGCGAAGAGAGGAACACGGGAAGAGAGATTGCACAAGTGGATGCTTCCTTCTGCTTCCGTGAGTTAGAGTGGTTTATTGTTATGCTCATACGCCTGGAATCATTGCACGTTTTCGTGAATGCACCGTTCTAGCCGCCGCTTTTGGAGAACCCACCACTGCGCGTAAGTGACACCTTTCGTCGGCACCACCAGCGAGAAATTGTACGATAAATAGCGCGAAGAAAATTAAATGTTACTTTTAGCGACACGTTTGCGCAAATATTTTAAGATGATCAATAAAGAATTTGAGAATGCTTCTCTTCACAAATTTGTAAAACCTTTAAAGTAATT